AAAGTTATCTCCCACCTGACCGCAGCAGCTGCTCAGCGATCAGGGTAGAAATAGAGGCTGTGACCTCTGCTGTTGCCCATTAATTCTTTTAATTAAAAATTTAATGTTGGTTTGGTGCTTGCAGATGCAGGAGCCAGGCACCCCGAGGGCTCGGGTGGGCGGCCACGCCAGGCTACTGGGCTTCATCACCCCGAGAGCAGCGATGGGGAGAAGGTTCTTCTCATCCCAGTGACTTTCTTTGCTCGTAGACGCTCCATCCTGGGGATGGAGGACCTGACGCATCTCACGAAGCGGCTCCATCCATCACCCCCTCCCACGCTCCCCCACCGGGCACCGACCTCAAGTCCCTCGGGACCAAAGTGCCGCTGCAGGAAAGGCAGATTTGCAGCTCTCTGCTCTACAGCACCAACATTATTATCCGGGGATCTCCGGATGAAGGTACAACAGAAATGTTAGCTGCTGATTCTTTTTTTGAAAAAAATACAAACAAAAAAACCCCATAACTACTGTAAAGCATTAAAGGAAAAAAACCGAACGTGCCTTTATGACTTGCCTCAGGACAACAGAAGAGGGTAAATAGCGCTAGTGAATTATAAATAATGATGCTAAATATTAAATATCTCCAGAGCAAAAATGAAGAGCCTGATCTTTGGATGGAAAAATGGTCTTAAAAGGGCACTGTGGAAATATTTTAAAGGCAATGGTTTTGTGGTACCCCTGCCCCCAGGGAAAGGTTTCTTTAGTGGGATGAAGATTTTCTGCTCCTTTCTGGAACATCCTGATCAAATCAAACTAAATGACCTGGAGCTTTGCAAAAAGCAGCTGCTGAAAGAAAACTGAGACTCCTGCTTTCCGAGAGTGGCTTTTAGGGTGCTTGAAGAAGGGAGATTTTGCCCCAGAACACCCCAGGTTCTGTCTGTGCTGGTGCAGCCACATCCCTGGTGGGGAGGGAAAGTGTCACGACAGCCGCACGGAGGAGAAGTGTCAAGGTCCATGCCTGGGCTTCGGCAGGGTCAGCCGAGGGCACGGGGAGGTGCAGCTGATGCCCAAAACACCATCTCTTCCCCCA